TGAGAAATAGTAGCATATAATAAATGATACATTGCTAGTGTATCATAGCTGGAGCTTAGTATGTTATAAAGCTGCAGTTTTCATGTCATCAGTGTGACTAGTTTTCTTTCAGGGTGGTGAATATAGCAGTGCTTCAGTTTTGGAGTAAAGGGAGTTCTGGTTGTTACAACTCAAATCTCTCCCTTCTTGTTAGAATTCAGTGATACTTAAAAGAAGAGGAGCTATTTCTGGTACAAGGAATGAGATTGGCAATGACTTGCAGCAGAAATGTGTGAAATGCCAACAGCTCAATGAACATCTAGCAGAGATCTAAAGGCAATTAAAACTTCTGTGTTATGGAGTTGACCACGGGGTGTTTTTGCTTCTGTCTTCACAGAGATTGCCCTAGTGACCAGCAAACCTGAGAAAGTTGCTCCTTCCCGTCAGGATATATTCCAAGGTATGGGAGAAAATCAGTGGGTCTCTAGTACTCAGTGGGAGGCACCTTATTCTCCCTCAGGTCAGAGAGGAGTGAGGAGCATGGTTGTCATTAAGTCTTTGTCCTCTTTTTCTCCTTTTTGTGCAGAACAACTGGCAGCCATTCCTGAGTTTAAGAACTTGGGTCCATTATTCAAGTCTTCAGAACCAGTGCAGCTCACGGAAGCAGAAACAGAGTATTTTGTTCGTTGTATTAAACACGTGTTCACAAACCACATAGTTTTCCAGGTAAGGCAAGATAAGCACTTCTGCCACACTGTGGTAGGAGCAGCATGATCAACATGATCACTATGCCCTGCAAAGAACCTCCCTGTAAGGGAGTCACAGAGGAGAGTTAAGAGTGTATGTGGTGCCTGCATCCTTCTAACATTCTTTTACTAGAGCCAGCAAGAAGAAAACTTGTCTTCATGATCAGAAGAGGATGGGGGTTGTGATCCCATCTGTTAGAGAATTCTAGTAAAATTGGAGAGAGAAATTGTTCAGTGAGAGTGGCAGGATTGGGTCAAAGGAGTGGGATGTCTGCCGTATGCAGTGAAGTGTCATAGCTGTCCCTGGGAAAAATCTTGATGATAAATGTTTCTTCCATGCTGAAACTGCTTCTGTTTTTTTTTTTGATTTGGCAGTTTGACTGCACAAACACATTAAATGATCAGCTGTTAGAGAGAGTCACTGTGCAGATGGAGCCGTCGGATGCTTACGATGTGATTTGTTGCATCCCAGCACCCAACCTTGCTTACAACCAGCCGGGAATGTGTTACACACTCGTCCAGCTGCCCCAGGATGATCCTACTGCAGGTAACAATTGGGAGGGAATCATTCTTTGTGGAAAAAATCCCTGAAATGAACAATTTTCGATAATAGTTATCTTTAGGATGTGGCTTTTAATGGGATATTGAGGTCTTAGCATTTTTTCTTGTCACACTCCTTGATTTTTATTAAGACTATTTGTGAAGCATATTGTGTACACTTTTTAACAGATGGAT